GGCCAGCATGGGTTACATAGCAAGTTCAGAGCCAGCCTGACCGACATAAAAAGATTGTGTGTTTTAAAAAAAAGAAAGAAAGAAAGAAAGAAACAATGGGTTCTGGTGTGTTTCTCCTAACCACTGGCAAGTGGATTGGGAAGAGTGTGGTTCTAGGCCATCTGTGCCAAAAACTTCTTGAGACCCCATCTCAACCACTCAGTGTTGTGCATTTGTCATCCCAGCTATGACAGGAAGTATAAAATAGGAGATTGTAGTCCTGGGCAAAAAGTGAGACCCTATCTCTAAAATAAAAGAGCAAAAAGGACTGGAGGCGTAGCTCAAGTTGTAGAGCCATGCCCTGATTTCAAACCCTGGTACCTCCTCCACCAAAAAAATTAAGTAGTGTCTCAAGTCCCACAAATATCACTATATTGGGACTTAAGAAAAATCAGTGCATATTCATGTCAAACAAGAAAAAGAAAAACCGGTTTCAAATTTCATTCTTTCAAGGTACAGTATACTATGTGCTATCTTGTTATCAAATTAGATAGTAAAGCATTGTGGTTATTGTACAATAATACTATGGCTGGCTGAGAGAGCATACCTCTTAAATGAGTATGTTGGCACATGCCTGTGGTCCAGCACTCAGGAAGCTGATGAAGGAGAATCTTGAGTTTCAGGCCAGTCTGAGCTACATAGTAAAGACTCTGTCTCAGAAGAAAAAACTGGGGGTACAGCTCATATAGTAGAGTGCCTTGCCTCATAAGCGTAAAGTCCTGGTTTAAATCCAGTACTGCCCCCCAAAAAAGAATATACATCTTATATAGCCTTAAATTTCCTTGTAGATGTCTTACTGTTACCTTGACTACAAATTGAGTGACACTGAAAATATTAATGTATCTCCCTCCAACCTGTTTTAAATCAGTGACCTTTTTTACTTTATTTGCTAAGGATACCACTATTCTTCTGGGTACTGAAGCTCAGGACTTCTGGCTTTGTTTTCTTTATTATTTTATGTGTAGTCAGTACAAAGATTTCTTTAGGATGTTATAGGAAAGATTTATTGTATGCATTTCTTTTTGTTCCTATTTTCTGTTGTGTTTCCACCTCTATCCTAGTTTAAACTTTTAGTTCTATAATTTATTGTTTTCAGATTCCGTTTCCACGATTGTGTCCTTTCTCTCCTTTGTAAAGCTTTAATTGGTTTTTATCATGTGTTTGCCTATACCTTACTAAGAATAAACTTATGCCTTTCTGGGGCTTCATTAATTCCTTAAAATTTAACACATGTCACTTTGTTTTTTATTTTAATGTTGCCTCTATAATAGACTTTGTGGAATACTGGCTGAAGCAGTAATGTTTCAGAAAGATTTTCCATAATAGCTTTCCAACAAAAAGAGGAAGAGATGGAGTGGTGAACAAGACGGTTTCTGCTTTATTGGACTTGTATAGTACTGAAGAGAATGAATAAGTTTGTAATAAAGTTTTGATAGCAGTCAATACCAGGTGATAAGGGGAAAGAGATGTGATTTTTGGTAGAGTAGTCTTATCTGAGGGAGATGACTTTGAGTACAGAGCTGAATGAAGAAAGAAGTAAAGAAATAAGACGATCTGAGGGAAAGACCTTCCAGAGGGATGAGATAGTAGGTGTGAAGGCCCTGTTGTTAGGAATGAGCATATGTGTGTGGTTCAAGCAGTAAGTCCAGCATGGCCAGAGGGGACTGGGGAAGGGAAAGTAGGGCAAGGTAAGAACAGCAAGTTAGCCAGGTCCCAAATCACATAGGCTTTGTAAGCTGTTACGGGGAAATTTGAATTCGCTGTGAATGTGGAGGAAAGCCATAGAAAGCTTTGAGCAAAGAGTAAAATCATCCAGTTTACATCATAGGTTTGTTTGGGTTTCTGACCAGAGAATGGACTTTAGGGGAGTGCGAGTGAAAACAGGGAGAGTAGTTATAAGGCTGTTGCAATGGTCCAGGCTTTAATTGCATCTTTATAAATGTAATAGGACTGAAAACCTCCTGGGTAAATTTTATTATCTAACAATAGACAAAAGTTTTAAAATCCTTTCCTGGGTAGAGTTGGATAATCAGTACATTATAGTTTTGGTTGGTTATAGATATATACTGCAGTGGAAAGCCAGGATAAACAAGCAGGAGGAAGTAAAGCATTCAACTGAAGGACCATATAATAGAACAAAACTCCTTTGGTACATGTGAAAGGCCTTTGATTTCTCAGACTAGATCCCATACTTAAAGTCATGGATGCAGACTAATAGCTAACCGTTGTTCATCATTAACTACATGTCCAACATGTACTAGGCACTCTGTACTTGATATCATACATCATAGTACAAAAACAGAAGAGGTATGTTTCTGAAGGTTATTAGTAGCTTGTGAAATCTCTAGAAGCTACATAGCCTAGAACAGTGTCCACCCACCCTATTGTATTGCTGTAGTGAAAATAACTGTGACTCAAAAACTCTACAACTACTGCGCTAGGAGCTAGGCATCTCCTCTGCTATGCTTGCTGAAATATGGATTTTGCTGGTATGATGGATTAAAGTGGCAAAGGAATAAGACTTTCTCATGGAGGCATTTGGGGCCAAAAGGAGGAATGAAAAGAGATCTCCCTGAAATTTGTAAGACTGCTAAATGAATGGCAGGAGAGCTGAGAGATCCCCTCATTTCATACTTTTACCTGTTGGGGGACAAAAATAGTCTGGGGTATTCTAGGCTATCGTTTACAAAAAACTAGAATAATATCAAGAGAACTAAGAGAATGGTACTCTTAGAAAACCCAGGGTGGGATATCACTGGGGAAAGAGATATCCTGAGGCATGGAAATGAAAGGTAGGACTAAAGAACAAAGAGAACTCATAGACTTCAAAATCAAAAAGACAGGTGATAAGTCACAAAATGGTCAACAGTTTCAAGGGCTGGAGACTAGACTGTGAACATAAGTAGATATCTGGAATCTGGTGAGTGCCATGCCAGAGATTCCATACCCTGCAGAAGACAAAGACTTATACTACTGTCATATCCTTTGAAACCAATGAGGTACTGAATCAGACTGAAGCTTCAGTAAATTCCAGATATAGCTTAACAACTGTGACTTGACAAGGGAACATAGAATTCCCCTTTTTGGAGATAAATATTTTCTGTTTCAGTCTCCAGTATGTACAGTATACATTAAAAATGAAAACACACGTTACTTGTATTAAAGAGAGAAATGTTAGCAGGTTGAGAAATGGCTTAGATTTGATGTCAGAATTGTCAGAAAGAGACTTTCAAAAATGCCAGGATAAAAATGCTAAATTTTCCCATAGAAAAAGAGAGCTATATATATATATATATATATATAAAGAAATGGACAATTTTAGTAGGACCATGAATTTTTTTTAATCAAAATGAAATGAAGGAGGACAAAGAAAGAAATATATTTCTTATAAGAAAGAAAGATATTTCTTATAAGAAAGAAAGAAAGGATATAAGAAAGAAAACTATAAACTTTTGTCCTTTGTGACTATAGATAAAAAAATTTTCAACAGAATACTAGTGAAACAAATTAACAGCACAGTAAAAGTCCACCATAACCAAGTGGGATTTATCCCAGTAATGCAAGGATGGTTCAATGATGATTAGTAATATTAAGAAAAAAAATCACGAGGCCTCAATTTAAAAAAAAAAAAAAAAAAAGCAGTTGTACAGCTGGAGGTGCAGCTCAGTGTGCACGACCCTGGGTTCAGTTCCCAGGGGAGTTGAACTCAGGGCTTTGCACTTACTAAGTAGGCACTTTTCCACCTGAGCCATTCTGCCAGCTGTATCCTTGTTTATAGTTACACAAACACATTTAGTTGTATTGTCAGAACACTCAAACTAAATATAGGGTTAGAGACTTTGAACAAGATCTAAACCTCCTTAGACCCGTGTTTCTCCCTCCCTTGGCATTCACCTCCAAGAATGTTGACATTGTTTGTTTAAGTAGGCACTTAACTTGGTTGTAGTTGGCCTAGAAAACCTGTCTCCCTTAGTGGCAGTGTAAAAACTTCCTTTCAATTATTGTAGCTTTGATTAGATTGCTTAGGATCTGTCGGGTTTGAGCATGCTTCAAAGGTCAATCAAAGATTTGAGCAGAGTTTATATGTATGATTTGGAGTGTTCCACGCGCCCCCCCTTCCCCCCCACTACAACAGTCTTTCTCCTTTCTGGGACTTCCCTTTAATTTTGAAGATTATGATTGTCCCAGGCTCTCTCTTTGGTTCTTTGAAGCCCTAAATTCAGACTATAGATTTTCTATGGGAGTTTGAGCTGCTGTGTAAGGCATTGGTTTACCATCTGGTTAGAAGCCATAAAGACAGGAAGCACACCTTTTGTTGTTCCCTTCTTATGGGTGTCAACTTGCCTATGGAATCTGTGCTTTTGATGACTCTCCATACTTTGAAGTCATTCTTTATATTCTAGTTTATAGCTGTTATCTGCATGAAGATGGGTCAACTAAGTGCTATTCAACCTTCAGAGTCTCTCAGTTCAATAAGGCCCTGAGTTCAAGCCCTAGTACCACCAAAAAAAAAAAAAAAGTTGCATTTACATTGAGACAGCCTCTCTCATTATAACCCTCCAACTTGAGATCCTCCTGACTCAGCCCCCTCTCAGAGTTAGCACCACTATACCCTGTTTAGCTTTGGGAATTTTTTGATGATTCAGATGTTTATCACAAAACAAAACAAAAAAATCCCTTTGTAAGGTGTTCCAGTGTTTTGTAACTCTTAAACTACTTTAGAAATTTGGAGGGCTGTTCACAGATTACTTTCTTTTATTTTGGCAGTATTTAGGGATCGAGCTTAGTGCTTCCTACTTGCTAGGTAGGTGCTCTACCACTTGAGCCATTCTGCCAGCCCACAGATTACTTTTTTTTTTTTGATAGTCTTTTTTTGAAATAATAGTATGTGGTACAGATATAAGCTTACTATAAAATGTATGGATAATGAATTGTGATTCTCTGTGTTTCTTCTCTTTTAGCTCCTGGGCTATAGTGAAAAGCCAATAAATCTACAGATGTTTATTGGAACAGCAGATGATCGATATTTACGACCTCATGCATTTTACCAGGTGCATCGAATCACTGGAAAGACAGTTGCCACTGCAAGCCAAGAGATAATAATTGCCAGCACAAAAGTTCTGGAAATTCCACTTCTTCCTGAAAATAATATGTCAGCCAGGTATCTTGAAACATTTCCCAAAATGGGCAGTTTCTTCTTTTCAAAAACTTTCAAAAAAATATATTTCTTTTTTCTTGTATAGAAACAAAATATTCATTGTTCTAAATTAACTGAGTAATGTAAATAATTGTAGCACATTTGCTAAGGGTGGTTGATATTTCCAAGAAGGAAAATTCAACTCAGCAAACGGTTAAGGACCACTAGCCAAGCATCATCTTAGGTGATAAAATAGATATATGGACTTTTCATCAAGTTGTTCACAATCTAATAGAATAAGCAACAAACACCTATAGTATAGTTTTAATTGCTAAGTGTCTTTAAAATGTTTTGTTAGCATATATCAATTGTGCAAAAGGGTTTCATTTTGATAGCTCCATTCCTGCATATAATTCATTTTGATCAAATTCACCCTTTTACTCTGTTTTGTTGTGTGTGCTTAAGGAGAACTTTTGACTTTTCCCCTAGGAATCCTGTTTGACCAATTGCCAAAAAAAATGAGGTGGCCAACCTCTAAATGAGAATGCAAGTGGACTTCTTGCCTTTTGCTCTAGGATCTTAGTTTTCCATATAGCATCAGAAGTATATGAGTATATGATTAGTTACTTATAGAGGGAAATGTAAAACTCACTGTTGAGCTGTCTTTTTCTAAAAAATTGATCCCTGAGGATCAGTTTGCAGACTATGTTTCCATTCTTACACGTGGTTAGTCAAAGTACTATACCTGAATCAAGTTAAAAGGAAATCACCATATGCTTACTACGCTACATAACCTTGCTTAAGTGATAAAATAAGTACTATCCATATCAATTCTTCTCTCTCTTTCCTTTTTTTTTTTTCTGAAATGGGGTCTCATGTTGTTGCCCATGCTTTTCTTGAATTCATGGGTTTAAGGGATTACCCTGCAGCAACCTCCTCAGTTCTGGAACTGTAGGCACATACCACCATGCCTTGCTTGAATACTTCTTTATATGGAAAACCACTGTTAAAAACATTACATCTTTGATTGGTCAAATGTTTGGTTGTTCATTATTCCATACACATATATCACATACACACACACACACACACTCACCATGGACTCTCTTCAATTTAAAGGAAAAGAGTTAGTAGTGTTTATTGATAACATGGTAGGTTTTGCTCCACCAGACAGCAGGATACCTATGAAAAACTTTACCAGATTTACTTTTTGTTTGGTTTTCTGGAAGTTCATGGTGAAGCTCAATTATAATAATTTATACAAACCTTAGATTTGGGGTATTATTTAATTTTTTTCTATATTTCTTTGCTTGGCCTTATTTGTTATTTATATTGTAAAATGCCTGCTATTTTTTCCTTTTACTAGGATAAGCTTACTAGGACTTCTTGGGATAAGTTTCTCCCTAGTATTGACTGTGCAGTACTGGGGTTTCAACCCTACATGTAGGACCCTCTACATGCTAGTAAGGAAGCGCTCTACCACTGAGTTACATGCCCCATCCCCATGTAGGTATTTTGAAACTGCAATTCAGACTTAGTCCTGGACTACATAGTGAGTTCCAGGCCAGCCTACCCAATAATTGATGACCCTGCTCAAACAACAAACAAGCAATAATAAAATAAAATGTAAAATAAAATAAAATAAAATATTTTTATAACAAAATTTAATACATATTTTCACTGCTGCATATGAATATTTTTATAGGTTTTTGTGCTTTTTTTGTTTTTTGCATTTCTTAGAGTTTTACGTTAGTCACATATATCTTTCTTTTTTAACCTGATTGAGGTTTATAGTTCTTCCCTAACAAATTAACAGTACATATCTATGAAGTTCAGTTGTTTAGAACCAGTGTTTATCAATAAGCAAATAACATTTTTATATTTCTCTCCCTAGTATTGACTGTGCAGGTATTTTGAAACTCCGTAATTCGGATATAGAACTTCGAAAAGGAGAAACTGATATTGGCAGAAAGAATACTAGAGTACGACTTGTATTTCGTGTACACATCCCACAGCCCAGTGGAAAAGTCCTTTCTCTGCAAATAGCTTCTATACCTGTTGAGTGCTGTAAGTCAGCTTTTGTAATGTTTTAAGATTTTCTTAGTTTATTTTTTGTTTTGCTTAATAAAATGTAATGGACACATTAAACATACAAACCAGGCATAGAGTCTGGGTTCCTAGTTTCCTTTTCTTACATGGAAATTGTGCTGTGTTGAGATGGGAAGAGTATTGATTTTGAGATTAGAAAATGGCTTTTTGTTATAGTTTAACTGTAGACAGACTCTCTTTGTGCAGTTTCCTTTCTTCCTCCTTCCCTTCCTTTCTCCCTCTCTCCCTCCCAAATTGTAGTCTGGGCTAACCTCCAACTTGGGATCCTCCTGAGTGCTGGAATTATAGGCATGTGCCACTGTGCCTAGCAATTATTTTTTATTTTTTAACCACAAAATTATTTACAATACCAGATTGAGAAAGTGATTTTTTTCTTCAATTTATGAAGGCAAGATATGAGAAAAGTTCCTAGAACCTAACATGTATCTTCCCTGTAGAACCATGGACCTCAGGTAGATTGGCTGTTATGATTGAAATACTGTGGTTGATGTTTAACTCTTTAAGGCATATAATTAAAATGTTATAATTTCAGGCCTTTATTTTGCATAGAGGAAATTGACACACAAGTACCTCAAGCATTCATTCAAAGTTATTTTCTTGTTAGTGGCAGACTTGTGCTTAGAACACAAATTTTTCTGACACTTTTTTTGTTATACTCTTTTATTTCTCTTAACCACATATATTCTTAATTTGGGATAACCCTACTATATATAACCTTCCTCTGCCTCCTTTTGTTATTTGTTGAATTGGAGTAATACTTTATCGTTTCCCAGTTGACTGGAATCACTGAGTGATTTTTTTTTGTTTTTTGTAGTACTGTGGTTTGTACACAGGGCCTACACCTTGAGCCACCTCCATCAACCCTTTTTTGTGATGTTTTTTTCTTTTTTTTGTGTGATTTTTTTTTTTTTTATTGTTGTTGTTTTAGTTTTTTTTTTTTTTTTTTTTTTTTTTTTGAGATATGGTCTCATGATCTGTTTGCTCAAGCTGGCTTCAAACCGCAATCCTCCTAATCTCTGCCTCCTGAGTAGCTAGGATTACAAGCATGAGCCACAGGTGCCTGGTGTAAATCGTAGTGATAGAATTCAGTAAGGTAGATTCGATGAAACTAGTTTTTATATTTTAATAGATAATAGAGGCACATAGTACAAAACTAAAAAAGTATAAAGAAAATTTGCTTGGTGGTGTGGCTCGGTGGTAGAGTGCTTGTCTATCATACAACAAGGCCCTAGGTTTGCTCCCCACCACTGCGAAAACAAAAACAAACCCCCAAAATCAATAAAAAGTATAGAGTAAAAAGCAGATATCAAAGTCAACCAGTTCCCCTTCTTGGAAGCAACTACATTGCCAACTTCTTAATTATCCTACCAGAGTATTCTATATACTTACAAGGATAGATGTCTCTGTTGTTTTAAAATTAAATAAGCTCATAGAGTAGTTTGAGTTTTTTAAATGAAATGATTCTGAAATGATTTAAAATTTTTTGTTTATAAAATTAACATGCAATTATTATTGAGAATATAGAAAATACACTAAGGTAAGTTTCATATCTTTTTTGTGAGGTGGGACTTGGGGTGTTTTGAACTCAGGGCTTCTTCACACTTGCAAAGCAGGTGCTGTACAGCTTGGGTCATACCTCCAGCCCGTTTTGTGCTCTGGTTATTTCAGAGATGTGTGGTCTTGTAAAACCATTTTCCCAGGCTGGTCTCAAACCACAGTCCTCCCAGTTTCAGCCTCCCAGATAGCTAGGATTACAGGCATGAACCACTAGTGCCTGGCAAGTTGCACATTTTTTTTGTTTTGTTTTGTTTTTGGCAGTACTGGGATTTGAACTCAAGGCCTCATGCTTATTGGGCAAGTGCTTTACCTTATTGGGCAGCTGCTTTACCACATGTGCTACTCCACCAGCCCTATTTTGTGTTGGGTATTTTTGAGATAAGGTCTCTTGAACTATTTGGCTTGCTTTGAACCATGATCCTCCTGGTGTCTGCTTCTCTAGTAGCTAGGATTATAGGCGTGAGCCACTGGCAGCAGGCAAATTTCATATCTTAATTTGCTGTTTTCACTTGTCTTGCGATGGGTTTCTCATATTATTAGAAATGCTTCAAAACTACTATTTTTAACACATGCATAATTTTTTAGTATGGCTGTGCCATCTGTTGAACATATTTTTTCTGTTACTGAGAATGTGCCTGATGGCCAGTTTTTCTGATAAACATAGAATCTGAAACTTGAGTTAGTCTTTTCTGTACTGCATTCAGTGCTTATTTTTGTGCCCCTCCTATGTGAGTCATTTAGAATAGTCATTTAGAATTAATACATTCTAAGTGGTAGTTGATCCTGAGTCCTAGACCCATCCCATATGAAAGGATCTATTTTCATATCTTCTGATTGGGAAAAAGGTCCTAGTTCATGTACTTTTATAGCTAGTTAGTAGACAGGTAGGAGAGACAGAAGCTATAGTGAACTGAAGTGCTCTGCTAGTTGAACAAAACACAACTGATTCTCAAAGCTACCAGTGTTCCACCTACATAGTAAGTCTAAAAGTAGACGTTTTCCAAATATGAAGAAAGTATTGTCAACACCTTTTTTGTTGGTTTTAATTCAGAGAGAAACCTAGGGTATGTAAGCATTTGGCAAAAAAAAATAATTAGAGAACCTAAGTAATCAAATGAGATACATTCTGTAGTTCAAAACTCATGCAGTTCAAAAAGAAAGAGCTACTTGGGAGGCTGAAATGTAAGCCCAGCCCAGGCAAAAAGTTTGTAAGACCCCTATCTCTACCAGTAGATAGGCATGGTGGCACATGCCTGTCATTCTAAGTTATGTTGGAAGCTGAGATCAGGAGGATTGTGGTTTAACCTGGGAAAAAAATTTTACAAGACCCATCTTAACAAGACCCGAAAAAAAGCTGGGCATGGTGGCATGCACCTTTCATGCCAGTAACTGTAGGAACTTTAAAGTAAGAGGATTGTGGTCCAGGCTGGCCTGAGCAAAAAGAAAGATCTCAAAAATAGTTAGAGAAAAAGGGCTGGAAGTGTTACTCAAGCAGTAGAGTGCCTTCCTCAGCCCTGAGTTCAAATCTCAGTACTGCTTAAAAAAGAGCAAGAAGGAAGGGAAGGGAAGGACCAGGTACAATGGCTCGTGCCTGTAAACCCAGCTATTTTGGAGGTAGAGATTGAAGGATTGAAGTCTGAGGCTAGCCCCAGGGAAGAAGCATGAGAGACCCTATCTGAAAAACAACTACAAGCAGCTGGGCGCCAGTAGCTCATGCCTGTAATTGTAGCTACTCAGGAGGCAGAGATCAGGAGATCATGGTTCGAAGCCAGCCTGGGCAAATAGTTCATAAGACTCTATCTTGAAAATACCCAAGTGGTTCAAGTGGTAGAGCACCTGTTTAGCAAGCAGGAGGCCCTGTATTGCCAAAAAAAATCAGTATTGAAATGTGTAGTTCATATATGTTTCAGTTATTTAAAAAGATTTCCAAAATCCAAGCCTACTTTCCCAATGATGATCTAAGTATTCTTTTTTTTTTTTTTTTTTCAATTTTTTTGGCAGTACAGCGTTTGAGCTTGGGTCTTTGTGCTTGCTAGGCAGGTGTTCTACCACTTGAATCACACATCCTGCCTTAAATTTTTGTTATTATTTTTGGTGGTACTAGGGTTTAAACTCAGGTTTTATACTTGCTAGCACTCTACCATTTGAGCCATACCCCCAACCCAACAGCTTAATTCTTTTTTTTTTTTGTCTTGATTTTTTTTTTGCCTTGAATTTTAACAGCTTGAATGAATTAATTGCAAAATTTGAATTGACGTATCTGTATAAAATACTTTTATCTAATAATTTTTTTCTTATCTCACAAAATAAATAGCCCAGCGATCTGCTCAAGAACTTCCCCACATTGAGAAATACAGTATCAACAGTTGTTCTGTAAATGGAGGCCTTGAAATGATCGTGACTGGATCTAATTTTCTTCCAGAGTCCAAAATAATTTTTATTGAAAAAGGACAAGGTAAATAATATGTTGATTGACTTCAGTCTGGTGGCAAAAGGATGAAATGAGTTATTTAGATATTTCAGTAACATTAATCACAAAGTAGTTTTCCTTAATCTACAAACATCATTTCTATACTTGATTTTTATTGTAAACCAAATTACTAAATTTTCATATAAATGTTAAATTGTCTTTAAGGATGTCTTAAAAATAGAAGAATTCCCCCATTATTTTCATATGAAAATATGTCTCCACAAAAGCTTAGACACAAATTTTTATGGCAGTTTTTTTCATAATAGCCCCAAAATGAAAATAACCCAAATCCTCACCAACTAACTGGTGAATGGAGAGACAGAATGTGGTATATCCATAAAGTGGAATTATTTATTCAGCCATAAAAATTACTGAAGTCCTAATATGTGATGCTGCACAGATGATCCTTGAAGACACTATGCTACTTGAAAGAAACTAGCACAAAAGATCCCATATTGTATGGTTCCATTTATATAAAGTGTCCGGGTAAGTAATCCACATAGACAGAAAGATTAGTGGTTGCCAGTGTTTGGAGGTTAGTGAGTGTGACTGCTATTGGTACAGTGTTTCCTTTGGGAATGATGAAAATGTTCTGGAATTAGTGGTGGTGGTTGTACAACTCTATGAATATACTAACAACCTCTGAATTGTGTACTTTTATTTTTTTGAGGTTTTTTTGGGAGGTGAGCAGTGTTGTGGTTTGAACTCAGGGCCTTGTGCTTGCTAGGCAAGCACTGTGCCACTTGAGCCACATCCCCATCCCTCTTTACCTTTTTGTTTGTTTGGTTTTGCAATGCTAGGGTTTGAACTCAGGGCCTTCACCTTGAGGCACTCCACCAGCCCTTTTTTGTGAAGGGTTTTTTGAGATAGGGTCTCATGAACTATTTGCCTGGGTTGGTTTCAAACCTTGATCCTCCTGATCTCTGCCTCCCAAGTAGCTACGATTACAGGTGTGAGCCACTGGCACCTACCTTCAGCTTGTTTTTTTTTTTTTGAGATAACTTTTTCCTGGTTGGCCTCAAACTGTGTTCTTTCTATCTGCCTCTTAAGTACCTGGGATTACAAGAGTGCCCCACCATGCCTTGCTAAATTGTATAATTAAAAGGATAGAATTTCTAGTTTGTGAGTTGTATCTCAATTTTTGAAAAAGAGGAATCCTGTGTTTATCAGGATGTTTAATTTTATCTCTTCTTAAGCATATTAAAAATATTTTTTGCTGGATATGGTGGTATGCCTGTAATCCCAGCACTTGGAAGACTAAGGCCAGGAGGATAGTAAGTTTGAGGCTTGTCTAGGCTACATAGTGAGTTGCAGGCCAGCTTGGACTATATATATAGCAATATCCTGTCTCAAAGAAAAAAAGTTGCATCAGTTACTCCATATCATTAAAAAAATTTTTTTTTAAGTTGTAATACGTAATTGTGGATAATATAAACAAATTCTCTCACTCCCCTGTCCCAAACAGATCCCTTGCTTGAATTAACTGTTGCTTTTCTTTATAGGTTTTATTTATATAGTTTTACATAGTTTTTCTTCTGTTTTCAGATTCTAATATTTCATGCATTTTTCTGAAAATTGCTTTTTCAGAGGTCAACATTAATCTTTTAAGATTGAGCCATGTGACTGAAATTATTTTATATTCACTTCTATATAATTTTTCACTGTATAAATATACCACAGTTTATTATCCTTTTTTTTACTGGATATTTGAAGTGTGTCCAAGTTTTGGCACTACTAACAATGCTATTTTGGATGTTCTGGTTCTTGTCACCAGGGGGCATTAGCAAGGACATCATAATTCTTAAATTATGTTAATCTTGTAGGGGTAAATGGTATTTTAAACTTTGGTTTTTAATTTTCCTAATATCTATTAAAGTTGTTACGGGGCATTCATATTTCCTTTTTGTGCAATACCTATTTGTATCTTTACCTTTTTTTCATCATTTTTTTTCCATTTTGTTATTAACTTAGAGGAATTCTTTATATATTTGAATATCAAAGTGAGTTGAGGAAGTACCCCATCTTTTTCCCCTCTTTGAACTTACCTGCTGACTAGTCTCTTGAATATGTGACTAGTTATACTTTCTTTTGAATATGTGACAGAGCAGCAATTATTTTCCAAAGATAGAATGGGTTACTTGGCAAGGGAGTGAGATACACAAGAAAAAGTTGGCCACCATCTGTTGGGATTGCTCTGAATACTTTCAGATACCACTGAGTAGACAGGTACAATGAGCTCTGTAGCTCCTGGACAGACTAAGGTCTTTCTTCCTTTCCCCCCACCCCTATCACTACACTGTCTTTTGGTATTAGAAGTCACTGAGAAAGAGATTCGCTTTGCAATAAATTTGCAATATTACATATGTTATATTTGGTTTGTATGCTTTCTGACTTGAATTGCTTTTAATTGTAAATTGTTTCTTTCAATAGATGGACGACCTCAGTGGGAGGTAGAAGGGAAAATAATCAGGGAAAAATGTCAAGGGGTAAGAAATTTACCTTAATTCTTAAGAAATATTTAAGAAAGTTGAGAAAATTAAATAATGTTGTATTATGATGTAGATGAGGATATTTAGAAAAGTAAATTAGAATTTCTCTCTCATTTTTTTTTGTTTGTTTGTTTTGGCATTAGTGTGTTTGAACTCAGGGCTTCATGCTTGCTAAGCAGCGCTCTACCACTTGAGCCACTCCATCATCCCTGTTTTTGTATTGGGGAATTTTTTTTTTTTTTTGAGATTGGGTCTCGCAAACTATTTGCCAAAGCTGGCTTTGAATTGTAATCCTCCTGATTTTTGCCTCCTGAGTAGCTAGGATTACAGGCTTGAGCCATTGGTGTCTGGCCCAAAGTAGAATTTTTAAAAGTTTAAGAGTGGGATACCTTTCTGGTTTAAAATAAACAATGGTGTCTTTTTTGCATAAAAGAAAGGAAAAACTAGAAATGAAAGATTGTAGAAGTCTCTTACTGAAATTATCTTTATTTCTCTGAATTCAGAAAAGAAATTAAATTCAGTGAAGAAATCAAAATAACCTGACATCTGTAGTAGATTAAATCCTTAGAGATTTGTTATTTAACCTGGTATTTCTAACTCCACAGCTACTTGATTAAGCCTTCTGACTTCCACACTAAAAGCTATGATCCTTCATCCTCTTTGGAATGGAGACCAAATCTCTGGGCTAGGAAATACCACTTTCTATAATGCTTTCCAAAGAGTTGGAACAATTAGACTGAAGATTGCATTTGGTTTGAGCTAAAGGTTTTCATTCTACTTCTGTTAAAAAGAGAGGAGAGGGTTTGGTACTGGGGTTTAAATGTGTAAAATAATTTTTTTTTTTTTTTTGGTAGTTTGAACTAGGGGCTTTGTGCTTGCAAAGCTAGTGCTTTACTACTTGAGCCACACTTCCCAGTCCATTCTGCCCTGGTGATATTGGAGATGAGGTCTCACAAACTAGTTGCCTCAAACTATGATCCTCCCAATCTCAGCCTTCTGTGTAGCTAGAATTATAGGTGTGAGCTGCTGATGACTGGATACATGTATAAAAAGTTTTTATATGGGTATAGATATTGTATACTGCCAATGTTAGGACATTTTGAATATAAAATTTATAAGAAATCTAAATCATTGTGAAGCTTGAGAAGTATTTAAAAATGATCAAAAAACAATGGACTTCCTGTTAAGAAATACAGTGCATAGCACTGGTGGTTCAAGTCTGTAATCCTACCTACTTGGAAGGCTGAGATCAGGACGATTGAGGTTCGAGGCCAGCCTGGGCAAATATTTCATGAGACCCTCCCAACTCCAAATGACCAGAGTAAAATGGACTGAAAGTGTGGCTCAAAGTGGTAGAATACCTGCTTTGAGATTGCAAAACCTTGAGTTCAAACCTAGTCCCACCAAAAAAAAAAAAAGGCATAGTAACTTACAATATTTAGTAGAACAGAGTTTTTCACTACATAGTATGTGCTAAAGCTCTTATTTCTGCTTAACTAGAAACTCAGTGGGTGGGCAAAATGCAGTTTCTCCTTTAATGATTAAAGGATTTATTTCTGTCAAGAACGAAGTGCTGAGTGCTGTTGGCTCACAGTTGTACTCCTATTTGGAAGGTGGAGATTGGAAGGATTTTGATTTAAGGACAGCCTGGACAAAAAGTTCCTGAGATCCCATCTCAGCCAATAAAAGCTGGATGTGGTGATGCGTACCTGTCATCCCAGTTACACAGGAAGTATAAATAGGAAGATTGTGGTCCGGGCCAGCCTGGGCATAAAAAACAGAAAAATATTTTTCTATTTGAAAAATAACTAAAGCAAAATGGGCTTGGAAGCATGGCTTAATTGGTAAAGTGTCTGCCTAGCAAGCACTGAGTTCAAATTCCATTATCACCAAAATAAAACAGTGATGTATCCATTAATAAATCTCCAAATGACTTATATCATCAGTTCTTGTGCATAATTTTCTATGCTGGAAGAACCTTGTAGTTAAGACTCATGAGCTGCTCTTAGTTTAGCCAGGTGCATTTCATTTTTAGTTCTAGTGTAACATAATCTTACCTTCCTTGCTCCTAGGCTCACATTGTCCTTGAAGTTCCTCCCTATCATAACCCAGCAGTTACAGCTGCAGTGCAGGTGCACTTTTATCTTTGCAATGGCAAGAGGAAAAAAAGCCAGTCTCAACGTTTTACTTACACACCAGGTATGAGGAGTTGTAATGGTTTACTATAGAGCTTTCTTTCATAATGAATTTAAAAGCTACTCAGTGACTCTTATATTCAAATATTTAAGGTAGAATGTTTATAGTCAATAAAAATACCAGCATATGCCTAAAGTTCGTCTGACTTTAAATAGTAGATGTGCTATCAGTGACTATTTTGTAGTGATTTATTATAAGGAAATTAGAAGATGGAGTATAGGTTTGAAGTCTTTTCAGAAGGTTTCAAAAATTACCAGCACTATAGGAAGAGTAGCTGTATGTTTGTGTTGTTAAGTCAACAACTAAGTGGTAGTGCCCTTACCACTGAGAAAGGCAGTGTGTGCACTTCGTAGTGTTTTCATCTCAACTATTCCCACTCAGATAAAAAAAATTCTTAGCAGATTTTCATTTAACAAGTCTAACTGTACCATGCTGTTAGCTGTGGGGAATATGATGCCAGAGTGCCCAGTTTTATAGATACATATTAAGAAAGGAGGTGTCTACCTCTTTTTTCAGCAGTTCAAATGCTATCATTTTCCAGATTCCAGTTATGACACATAAATATTATCTGCAGTAATGCATACTAATGGTTGCATGCTGAAAGAACAAGTATTTATAGAAATCTCCTCTGTGTTAGACACTGTGCTAGTCACCAGGGTTTATGATAATAAAAAAATTGTAGTGAGCCTTACTCTCCAAAACTTACTTTTGCAAAAATTTTTAAATGGTTTATAACAAACAAAAAGAACGAACACACCTGGCACTGGTGGTTCATGCCTTTAATACTAGCTACTCGGGAGGCAGCGATCAGGAGGATCATAGTTCGAAGCCAGCCCAAGCAAATAGTTCTCTAGACCCTATCTTGGGGGGCTGGGGGGGGGAAGAAAACCTTCACAAGAAAGGGCTGGTGAAGTGGCTCAAGGTGTAGGTCCTGAGTTCAAATCCCAGTACCACAAAAAAAAAAGGAAGGAACACTTTTGAAATTGTGGTTATCCATTTGTTGTGTATATGTTTTAAAGCCTGGTTATTTTTCAGTTATATTCTGTAAAGGCTACTTATGACCTGAAAATCATTATTGCTTAATAATGTTAATATATTACTTGGAAGTCAAATATTTCAGGTCACTTTCAAATAGAATACAAGTCTTTCTAAACTAGTGATTTTGGTTATGCATTTCGATTAGTAGTAGTAGTAGTAGTAGTAGTAGTAGGTGTGTGTGTCTGTGTGTGTGTGTGTGTGTGTGTGTGTGTTGCTAGGATTGAACTCAGGGCCTTGTGCGTGCTAGGCAAGTATTCTACCTCTGAGTTACATCCCCAGCCCTTGGCTTTTTTGACACAGGGTCTCGCTATGTAGCGCACATTGGCCTAGAATTTGGTATCCTCCTGTCTCATCCTCTCAAGTGCTGGGATTACAGGAGTGCACCCCCAAGCCTAGCTTCATTCAGTCATTTAGTATTCAAGAGCACTTAACCACATGGCAACATTTATCTCGGTCTCTGCTTGCATGGAGTTTATAGTCTAGTGACACAAATAGAAATTAATCAGTCACTAAATAAATAGCCAGTTTGTTATTATAAACTGAGTTAAGGATTCTGAAAGAAAGGGACACATTGCTGTGGGTACAAATAACAAAAGACCTTTGCCAAGGCTAGTAACTTGAGAAAAGGCTCCCATTTAGAAGTGATATCTGAGTTGATAACTGGAAAACAGTATTCATAATTATATAATGTTTACTATCTTACAAGTATTTTTCTAACCCCGTTGTATATTAACATATTAGTCTTTGTAATACACCTGTAAGATAGCTGTTACTCTATTTTCAGATGAGGAAACTGAGTGGTTAAATAATTTGTTCAGGATCTCTTAGTATATAATTCTTAGAGCCAAATCCTGAACACAGGCAGACTAGCTCCAGAATCTGGGTTCCAATTATGCTAGAGTACATCTTAGATTGTTTATCCAGCAAAAAGATGATTCAAATAGCAAGAGAGTTTTGAATATACAGAGAAGAAAGCACCAGTGATGATTAAGAATATCAAGTTTCTGCCAGGTTCCATTACGCCTGTAATGCTAGCTACTCAAAAGAGGAAGAGATTAGAAAGATTGTAGTTTGACACCAGCCCTGGGCAAATAGTTTGTGAGACTCTTTCTGGAAAAAAACCTATCACAAAAAAGGGCTGGCAGAGTGGCTCAAGCATGAGGCCCTGATTTCAAACTTGAGTACTACCAAAAAAAACCAACAACAGCAAAAATAGTATCAAGCTTCTGAGAAAAGTGGGAAGGGATAAGATGGTAACTCTGGTGCAAATACTGAGTTATCCCCAGTCCTTTTTTTTACTTTTCCTTTGAGACAGCGTCTCACCAGTCTTGGCTTTAAGATTGTAATCCTCCTGCCTCAACCTTGCAATTAGCTGAGATTACAGACACGTCCTACTACGCATGGCTGAGAGTAGGCTTTCTTGAATAGCACATGCCTTCTTCCTCCCATCCACCCCCACCCCCTTTTTTTGGTGGTACTGGGACTTACACCGTGGGTCTCACACTTGCTAGGCACACAGTCTACCACTTCAGCTACACTGCCAGCCCTAGTCTCTCTCTTCATGTAGAAGTATAACTTTGGGTTTATGATTCACTATAGCTTCTCTGAGACCAGAGTAGGAGCGAAATAGAATAGACAAAAAAAAAAAAGAAAGAAAGAAAGAAAACATCTAGTGATCTGGAGATACAGTTCTAGTTTTGCCAGTCAGAAGAGATAGTACATAAAGACGTTAGAGGGATCAGGAGGTAGTAGACTCAGTGAACTATACTTGAAACTCTTGTGCAAAATTCTGAAACTGGATTGAGGCCTCAGTATTGTGACAGAAGTAACAAAAAGATTGTTGATATCATTTCTCTCTGTTCTTTTTTCCAGTATCCCAGTGGGGGATACTGGAGTTTGAATTTATACTAAGTTTTAAAATTGGGAAGTATGAGTCCTCCAACTTCATGTGTATTGACTATTTGGGATCCCTTGAGATTCCATATGAATTTTAGGATGAGTTTTCACTTTGCAAAAAATTGTCACTGTGATTTTGATAGGATTGCAATAAATCTGAGGACCACTTTGGGGAGTATTGCCATATTAGCAATATTAAACTTTAAATCTGTGAACCTGAGAAGTTTTTCCACTTATTAAGATTTTCTTTTTCTTTTTTGGCTTGAACTCAGGGCCTCATGCTTGCTAGGCAAGCACTCCCCTTTTTTTGTATTGGGTGTTTTTGAGATAGGATCGCACAAACTGTTTGCCCGGGCTGGCTTACAACCTAGATCCTCCTGATCTCTGCCTATTGAGTAACTAAGATTACAGGCATGATCCACCAGTGCCCTGCTAAGATTTTCTTTTTTTTTTGAGACAGCATCTCACTATGTAGCCCAGATTGGTTAGAATTCTCGATCCTCCTGCCTCAGCCTCTCGAGTGCTAGGATTACTGATGTGTGCTGCCGCATCTGACCTAAAGTCTTCTTTAATTTCTTCACGTGGCGTTTTATAGTTTTCAACAGTCTTACCATCCCTGGTTGTTTATTCCTAAGTATTTTATTTTTGAAGTTAACTGTAAATAAAATTGTTTTTATAATTTCATTTTTTGGATTATTTATTGCTAGTTTATAGAAATTCAAGTCATTTTTGTATATTGGTTTTTGTCTTGCTGCATTTGTTTATTAGCTTCTTGTAGATTCTAGTACTTCTTTTTTGTTTTTGATATAGGGCCTCACTATGTAGCCCAGGTTGGCTTGAACTTGGTATGATGATCCTTCTGCCTCAGCTTCCCAAATGTTGGTACTACAGGTGTGTGCCACAAGGCCTGGTTTCTAATACTTCTTTGTTTTTTTTAAATTTTTTTTAATGAGGATACATTCATTGTTTAGAGGGGATTCATAGTGACAATTCCAAATAAGCTTATATTGTACATTGGTTAGATCACCTCCACTGTCTCTCTCCCTGAACCCCTTTCCTGCTCATCAGTACTTCTTTTGATTGTCCCTTGATAGTAGAGAATCAAATGAGATGCATGTGAAAAATCATTATAAGCCAGAAGTTCTATTAATGTCAGATTCATGACTTCGGGTATCTGATATAATGTGCAAAACTACATGACTTGGGCTGGGGACATGACTCAAGTGGTAGAGTGCCTGCCTAGCAAGCACAAGGCCCAGTAACTCCAACAAAACAAAACAAAACACAAGAATGAAGGCCTGACATAATTATTTTATGTGTTGCAAAATAACATTTATTTTACTCACTTTCTTTTCAGTTTTGATGAAGCAAGAACACAGAGAAGAGATAGATTTGTCTTCAGTTCCACCTTTGCCTGTGCCTCATCCTGCCCAGACCCAAAGGCCTTCCTCGGATACTGGGCACGCACAAGACAGTGTACTGTCAGCACAGAGAAATTTGGTTTGTTCCATCCAACAATCATATGCATCTATGGTAACCTCATCCCATCTACCACAGTTGCAGTGTAGGGATGAGAGTGGGGGTAATGAACAGCATATGATACCTTCTTCAATTGTGCACCAGCCTTTTCAAGTTACACCATCTCCTGTGGGGTCTTCCTATCAGCCTATGCAAGCTAATGTTGTGTATAATGGACCAAGTTGTCTTCCTATTAATGCTGCCTCTAGTCAAGAATTTGATCCAGTTTTGTTTCAGCAGGATTCAGCTCTTCCTGGTTTAGTAAATCTTGGCTGTCAACCACTGTCATCTATACCATTTCATTCTTCAAATTCAAGCTCAGCAAGACATCTCTTAGGACATACACCTCATTCTGTGCAAACCCCACCTCATGTGCAGTCGGTGAGATACCATTGTTCAAGTACAGGACAAAGATCTCTTTCTTCTCCAGTAACAGATCAGATCACAGGTCAGCCTTCTACTCAGTTGCAACCTATTACATATGGTCCTTCACATTCAGGGTCTGCTGCAACAGTTCCCCCAGCATCCTCTTGTCCCCTGGCTAGTTCACCACTTTCTGGGCCATCCTCCCCTCAGCTGCAGTCTATGCCTTACCAATCTCCTAGCTCAGGAACTGCCTCATCGCCATCTCCAGCCACCAGAATGCATTCTGGACAGCACTCAACTCGAGCACAAAGTACAGGCCAGGGAGGTCTTTCTGTACCTTCATCCTTGATATGTCACAGTTTGTGTGATCCAGTATCATTTCCACCTGATGGGGCAACTGTGAGCATTAAACCTGAACCTGAAGATGGGGAACCTAACTTCACAACCATTGGTCTACAGGACATCACTTTAGATGATGGTAAGTTTGTCTATGTGTTCTTAAAGCATAAAAATCCTGGAAAATTTCTTTAAGAGTCATGAAGAGGTTACTATGAATTACTTATTGGCATATAGTTGGGCTTTTAAATAAATTATTATTAGAAAATATGTTAATATATAACTTGAGGATACATAGAAAAACTTATTATTTGTTTTTGGCTTTTTTATGTTATTGGTGTTTGAATTTAGGGCCTCATGCTTGCTCTGCAGGCACTCTACCACTAGCCATGCCTCAGCCCTAAACCTATGGGGTTTTTTTGTTTGTTTGTTTGTTTGTTTCTGGTATCAGGGTTTGAACTTAAGGCTTCACACTTGCTAGGCAGGCACCAAACCTATGTCATCTCCTTTACCACTAATATTTATTACAGAATAGGGCATCCTTTGTTTTGAACATATAGTAAGATCGTAGTGTCTAAATAGAATTCAGGACCTAGTGCTAGTGGCTCATGCTTATAATCCTTGCTACTTGGGAAGCTGAAATCAGGAGGATTGTGGTTCAAAGCCTCCCTGGGCAAATAGTTTGTGACACCCCTCTCCAAAATAACTAGAACAAAATGGACTGGAGGTGTGGCTCAAGCAGTAGCATGCCTGCTTTGCAAAGCCCTGAGTTCAAACCCCAGTCCCACCATAAAAAAGGGAAAAAGAAAAGAGTAGAATTCAGGGGCATTAATTCAGCAAACATTGCTGAATGCCATCCATATCCAAGCCCTGAGCTAAATCCTGGGAATACTAGGAGTGTACAAAGAATTCCTGTTATTGAGGAGACTGACACAAGTAAAGAATTTGTTCCCCTGTGGCCTTGCCAGCTTGCTGAGTCAAGTACTGGTGATGGGCTGTTTTGCTGCTGTCACTACAGCTGTTGGCTCAAGGATTTAAAAAAAAAAAAAGGAAGTCTTTTTATATCTATGTAGCAAATTGGTATTCAGATTACTGATTTTATGAAATCGATAAATTGGAAAACACATTCCAATAATGAAAAATTCCCCCAAGATAAGATTTCCAGATAATTATTTTATTTTTGGCTTTATCATTTATATAATAGTGAAGTTTTTTCTAAATAGGTATTCAGTGAAAACTACCTATAACTGTTGTTCAATATGAAGATTCTAAAGATTCTAAAACATTGATACAGAATTTAGCCTCTCTGATCTATATTAATCTACTGTAGGGAAATAGTTCTAGATCACCCATGTCCTTTTTCAGAGAGGCTGAGTTCATTCCTTAGTTGCAAAGCTAGCATTAAATCTGAAGTCCTGAACACAAAGGGTAAGGAAGATAAATAAGATGTGGTATCCTCTCTCCTGGGGCTTTCCAGTCAGACTAGTACATGACTGACAGTTTATGCAATGTAGTGAGTCTGAGTCACCATAACCAAGGTATAAAAGAAGCATATTAGAAGATTAGCAGAGATATGTGACAGATGTCTTAGGAAGGATTCAGCAAGGCTTCTGTGAGTCAGAGACATTTGAGCCATGTCTTGGAAGATGAGTACATGTTTTCAGTAAATGAGGACCAGAGGGCAACTCAGACTGTAAAAGCAGAAACAGAGAATCTGCCTGGGAGAACATGATTCTGTGACTAGGGAATGAATGGTACAGTAGAAGATTATTTTCAAAGACATGAAAGGAGACAATCAAATAATTTGTGTTTTTTTTTTTTTTTTCTTTTGCAGTACTGGGGCTTTAACTCAAGGCCTATACCTTGAGTCACTCCACCAACTTTTTTTTGTGAAGGGTTTTTCCAAGATAAGGTCTCACAAACTATTTGCCAGGCTGTCTTTGAACCTCCATCCTCCTGATCTCTGCCTCCTGAGTAGCTAGGATTATAGGCGTGAGCCATGGGCGCCCAGCTTCCATAGTACTTTCTTATTTGTTATCTAATCCAGTTCTTACTATTCTTTTACCTCTGAGGTAGTGACATTTACAGAGTTGGACTTTGCAAAGGTCACACAAATAGTATGCAGCAGAACTGAGACTGGATTTAGATTATTTTAGTCTTTTTCTTACACCAGTATAGCTGCTACTCAGCAACAGCAGGCTGTGTTGGTAAGAGTTGTATGCTAAAGGGCATCCCTCAATGTGAGTTTTTGGTTCTAATTTTTTTTTTTTTTTTCTTTTTTGCAGTACTAGGGCTTGAATTCAGGGCCTTTACCTTGAGCCACTCCACCAGCCCTATTTTTGTGAGGGTTTTTCTTGATACAGCCTTGGGAAGTATTTGCCTGGGTTGGCTTCAAACCACTTTCCTTCTGATCTCCACCTCCTGAGTAGCTAGGATTACAGGCATTAGCTACTGGAGCCCGACTGATTTTTGATTTTTTGTTTTTTGAGGCAGTATCTCCCTGTGTACCCCAACCTGGCCTTGAATCTGCCTCAACCTCCCAAGTTACTGGCCTAATGATTTTTTTTTTTTGGTTTGGTTGGTTTTTTTGTTTTTAATTCCTGGAATATTGTGGACATTCTTAGAAGTTTCACTGTATGAACACATGTTCACAGTTACATCTGATCTGCACTTGCTTGTGTTGGGAATACTTGAGGGATCTGGTCTTAAGTATCACTGCCTAGTAATGATGAAGCCAGGAGGTAGAGAGGAGCCTATTACTTTTGTGTAAAACAGATTTGAAATAAGTAAGTCTTTTCCAAATATCCATAGGCATTTGTTTTGTTTTGTTTTGTTTTGAGACAGAGTAGCCCATGATGGCCTGGAACTCACTATGTAGCCAAGGCTGACCTCAAACTCAGCATCCTCTTGCCTCATCCTCCTAAATGGTGGGATTACAGGACTGTACCGCCATGCCCAGCATACCCACAAGCTTTTAAAATGTTGCCTACTTCATTTTGAGTAGTTTTAGACTAACTATTCATAGTGTCTTTTTACCCTGAAAGAACAAGACCTTGAGTGATGACCATTATCATACATTTACAGTATAATTGGGAAGATGCTGGATTTATTGAGCAGGTCTTTACAGATGAAGACACTTTTCCTTCTAAAAAGAGACCAAATCTAGAACCTGATTTTATTTACTATAGATTGAGTGACATTTGGAGGGAGAGAGGGACAACAAATTGAAATTTCTTAAAAGGTTTGTATAAATTTAATTTATTTCAATTTTTGAACATATGAAAATGTGTTGCAAAAACAAAATCTAGAGAGATATGAGCTCTGTGATGGCAGGTAGAAAAGCAATTTTATTTTTGCTACATTCATTATATAGGGTGCACTATCAAAAAAAGCTTCCGGCTGGACACTGGTAACTCATGCCTGTAATCCTAACGACTCAGAAGGCAGAGCTCAGGAGGATTGCAGTTTGAAGCTAGCCCAAACAAATAGTTAGGGAGACCCTATCTTGAAAAAACCCATCACAAAAAAATGGGCTGGTGGTGTGGTTCAAGGTGTAGGCCCTGAGTTTAAACCCCAGTACCTGTGCCCCCCCAACTCCCAGAAAAAAAGTTCCCAGATTGTATCTTCATAAAGGACAAGGACTGGCTATTGAATTCTCTCATTGTCACCTATCAGAGGACTAAATAGAAGCTCAGTGATACCAAAACAATAATTAGGGGAAAATGTAAAATGTGTTCTGGACACCTCAGATTTAGTGGCTGTATAATTTTTGTAAATTGGATATTTGGTGTTTAACTTAAACTCTAAGGTGAGTTTCTGACTGAAAAATAGTGTGGCTCTCTATTCAGGGGGTGTTCCTTGGAGGTATTAACAGCAGATTACTGGACTTCAACCAAGCAGTATTCTTTTTCACATAATTCCCTTGGAAGGCTATAGTATATTCCTACTCAACAAATTTAGGAATTGCTCAAGACTGTTTTGCTCCTTGCCTTTCTTACTTTTTTTCTTTGCTACCTCCGTATTATTGTCCTTCATGAAGATTGTGTTATACAGCATGAAATTATCAATGAGTTATTACTCATATCTTTATAATTTTTTTGCATGGAGCTGTAATTTTTCTTACATCTTTCTGTGTACATGCCCCAGTTTTTGGTCTAAATGGTATACACTGAAAACAGTTGATTTATATGAAATAGAACAGTGAAACCTCTTGCAGTTGCTTTAAGTGAAGCTGGGAGGGGCCCAAGGTGGGGAGATAGTGGGGGTAATCTAACCCAATGTACAATGTAAGCCTGTTCGGAATATCATAATGAATCCTCCCTATACAGCGAATACATCCTAATAAAAATGAACCACCACTACCATACCTCCCAAAAAAGGTTAATTTCAGCTGGCAGAGTTGACTCAAGTGGTAGAGTGCCTGCCTAGCAAGAGTGGTATCCTGAGTTCAAACCCCAGTATCATCCAAAGGGGAAAAAAAAGTTGATGATTTTATAACAAATATAGAAATAGCCACAGTTGTGTTTAAAACATTTTTTTCTTTTTTGTACTGGGGATCAAACCCAGAGCTTTCTGCATGCTAATAAGCAAACACTCAACCACTGAGCTATATCCTCAGCTATTTAAAACATTTTTATTAAGATTATGGTATTATAAAACTAGATTGTCTTAAGACCTTTAAACAGGCCCGTTTTATTTGTGATTGAGCTAACCAAATCCTGTTACAATTTTCCATTGGAGTCCTCCTTCACTTCCTACTTGTCCTCCTTTGTTCACAATCAACAAAACCACAGCTGCAGCTCCTCATCAGAGAAGAGGATGCGGGTTAAATATAGCCCAACTTGCTGCTGTGGTGAAAACTGACACTACCACTTGCATACTCTGAGCAGCAAAATGCTGATCCTGAATGCAGACAATTGCTGTTTTGACAGTAAACAAGGTCTCTAGACATGACCTTAGCTGCTTGAGTTCTGTGTATAAGTGATAACCAGAAGAGCCTGCTTTCAAGTGGGTACTTTTTGGGGGAAGGGAGCAGAGTCTTGCTTTGTAGTCTATGATGGTCTCTTCATAGTCAGCCTACCTCTGCCTCCCAAGCACCAGGATTACAGGCGCCTACCACCATGCTCAGCTTATTAGGTGCTTTTTGGGGGAGGGGGAGGGGTTCGGTACTGAAGTTTGAACCAGGGCCTGCAGCTTGCTAAGCAGGGACTGCACCGCTTGAGCCACACCCCCAGCCCAGTATGTTCTTTTTTAAAGCAAGAAAATGGTAACTAAGATTCAGATGGTTACTTGATGGGGAAGGCAGAAGACTGATATGAAGGAGGAAGAGAGGTAAATATGTCAGTGTTTTGTGGTTTCACTGGTGTTTACTCAAATAAATATATTTAAATAAAAGGAAGTCACGCATAGCCAATGGGGAGAGTATGTCATGACTGAGACTATTTTAATTAATTACTTATGGACACTGTGGGTATAGGGAGGTAGATAATACTGAACTTTTTACTTTAACTGGCATACTTGTATACCTGTACCATCCAGATTTAAGCTTTTTTGGGAGGGAGAGGGTGCAGTACTCCAGGGTTGAACTCAGGGTCTTGCTTGCTAGGCAGGCACTCTGCTTCTTGAGCCATTCTGTCAGCCCTTTATTCATTGGTTATTTTTGAGACAGCGTTTTGCTTTATGCATGGGCCAGCCTGATTCATGATCCTCCTATTTGTGCTTTCCCTTGTAGCTGAGATGACTGGTATGTGTCACTGTGCCTGCCATTGGTTGAGATTGGGGAGGCGGGGTCGGGTCAAGAACTTTTTGCCTGGGCTGGAGTCAAACTGCCATCTTCCTGATCTCTGACTCCTGGGTAGCTAGAAATACAGGTTTGAGCCACCATGCCCAGCCTTAAACATATTTATGATGAATAATACCATAGGCTTTAAGGTGTTATAAATAATGCCCATGTAGCCTTTGGATTGTCGTTTGCTACCCTGGGTATACGAGAAGAAAAGTTAGTTTCCAGACCCAGTGAAGAAGGAATAAACATTTGAAAAAGCTGTGTTTTTTAAAATATCAAGTGTGTTTTTATAGTTGTAACTTTTATAGTTGTAACCTTTTTATAAAAAATAAATACATTGCCAGTAGCTCATGCCTGTAATCCTGGCTACTTAGAAGGCAGAGATCAGGAAGATTGCAATTTGAATGAGAACCTATCTCAAAAAAAACTCTTTACCAAAAAGGGCCAGTGTGGGGGGGGGTTACTGGTGGAGTGGCTCAAGTGTAGGCCTTGAGTTCAAGCTTCAGTACCAGTAAATAAATAAAGTTCCTATCATTTGAGTAAAAAGTTTTTTCTTTGAATCAACTTGATATTAACATTTTACTGTATATAAACTGGAAAAAAAATTCAAGAAAGGGTACCATTAAATAATTAGCATATGAAATGTTTTCAAAAATAAGTTCCCTCCAAAATGCATATTGAAAAAGTATTAGTGAATTATAGTTACTGTTTTTTTAATAATAAGATTCCCATTTTGTGGAGCACTGTGCTAGGCACTTTGCCTAGTAGCTCACTAATTCTTCCTAACAACCTATGAAATGTGAATTATTACTTTATTTTTAAAGACATGGCTCAGAGAGTTTGAGCATTTTCATAGTGTTATATGGACACAAACACTGAGACTGGCATTTGAATCCATTTCTGTCTGAAACTTAAATAGTGTCACGTTGTGTTTAATTTTTTTTTTTTAAGTCTTGGCAAGGATTTATTTTAGTAAAACAGGATAAAGTATAGACAAAGTGGGGGTGGAGAGAAACATTTCCTCTTCCCCATGCAGGAAATGGGAGCAAAGACTCCTGTTTAATGGTTTCTGAGACAGATGCAATTGATTACTTCATATATTCTTGCTTCTTGAAACACATAATAATATACTGACAGTTTTTTGGTTTTTTGTTTTTTGGGTTTTTTTTTTCAGTATTGGAGTTTGAACTCAGTTCTTCATGCTTGCTAGGCAGGCACTCTATCACTTGAGCCACTCTACCAACCCTGTTTTGTGTTGGATATTTTCCAGATGGATCTTGAACTGTTTGCCTGGGCTGGCTTCAAATCACGATCCTCCTGATCTCAGCCTCCTGAGTAGCTAGGATTAGAGGCATAAACCAACAGTGCCCAGCGTGTTTTTGTAGTTGAATGTCAATTTTCTGATTTTGATGCACAGAGGTTGTTGATGAAGTTCAGTATTTCCTATTTAGGATTTTGTGATATATTTTATCCTAAGAGTTTTTAGAAAGTTTTACCTTTCTAAGTCCTTGATCCATTTTGAATTAGTTTTTGTATACTCTGTAAGGATCCAGCTTCATTCTTTTACATTTGGATATCCATTTTTCTCAGCATCATTTGTTGAAGAGACTGTTTTTTCCATAATGAATGGTTTTGGCACTCTTGTTTGAAGATCAGTTGACCAAATATGTGAACTTGCTATTCCATTGGTATAGTGTCTGTCTTTATGCCACACTGTTTTGATTAGCTTTATAATAAGTTTTTAAATTAGTAAGTGTAAGTACTCCAACTTTTTCAGTAGTGTTTTGACTATTAGTGAGCTTGTGACATATCTATGAATTTTATTTAGGATGGATTTTTCTTCTTTTTTTTTTGGTGGTGGTGGTGGTTACTAGGGTTTGAATAAGGGCTTTAAACTTGCTAGGCTTTGCTTTGCTTTTTCTTTTTCTTTTTTTTAATAGTACTGGGGCTTGAACTCAGGGCCTACACCCTGAGCCACTCCAGCGCCCCCCCCACCTTTTTTGTGAAGGGTTTTTTTGAGATAGGGTCTCTTGAACTGTTGCCTGGGCTGGCTTTGAACCACTATCCTCCTGATCTTTGCCTCCTGAGTAGCTAGGATTACAAGTGCCTGGCTTGCTAGGCTTTTCTGTATCAATTGAGATCATCATGTCTCCCCCCCATATCCCATTCTTTTAGACTGATACATAACATTGATTTTCATATGTTAAATCATCCTTGTATTCTGAGTTAAAATCCTTTTAATATGCTGCTAAGTTTGATTTGCCTAGTATTGTTGAGGGTTTTTGCATCTTTCTAATATATCTGTTTCCATATCTGTCTGTTGGTCTGTCTGTCTATCTATCCATCTATCTATCTATATATATATCTTGAGCATAGTACTCAGGATTGAACTCAGGAAAATGTTTGGTGGGAATTTTTGTGATGGGGAGGATAAAGTATTTTTGGGCCCTGTCAACACTGCTTCAAGGAGCTAGAAGGATGTCTGGAGGACTACAAATTTCCATCAAGCACAGTCTGAAATTACCACTAATTAGCCAACTCACAGAAACCCCCACTGTCTGTGGGTCTCTTAGCTTTGTTCTTGTACTTATTTTTTCTAATGTATTTACTGGTTCACCTGGAATCTCATGTGCTATACCTTCAACTCTGTTTTGGAAGATTCAGTTGTTGAGATCAGTTTTGGAGATTCAGTTGTTGGTCACCCTCAGAAAAGATACTTTTGACAATTCATATTCAGTCTTTAAAATACTTGGCATGACATACTGGAATCTAAATTATCCCTGAGAAGTAGGGGTCTCAAGTTTAATAATAAAAAAGCTTGAGGGAGAAAAATTTTGCATAAGCAAAGAATTTCTGGGTTTTGTTTTTACCCCTTTAGTGAGAGTGCATATTGTACAGATTGGCTCCTCTTTTGCTGTCCTTTTGTTTACTTAAGATAAGGATATTAATTAGTATTTACAGAGTCTTCTTTTCCATAGTTAGGTTCTTTTGTTTGAAGTTATTCAACAAAGGCCAAAAATAATTTCTTACAGGCCAAAGGAGGAGGCTTTATAAATAACTGATAGATTTACTATAATAACAACTAGTTTATTTGAAACTGAATTTATCCCTAAAAACCATAATTGTAACTCTTAAAAATGATTTCTAATGAAAAAAAATCATTAAACTATCTGGACTACAGGATTTATATTATCTAATAAAATGTGGGGAGCCATTTTGTGCAGTAGTGTGACTGACAAGTAAAGGAGAATTCAGTTTCTCTTGATTATACAAAAAAAAAAAAAACAGGCTGGGCACTATGTAGTTGATTAAGTTCACCCTCTGGTTTGTTCCATTTAGTAGTAATGTTGTCTTCTTTGACACAGACCAGTTTATGTCTGACTTGGAACACCAGCCATCAGGTTCAGCAGAGAAATGGCCTAACCACAGTGAGCTCTCATGTCCAGCTCCTTACTGGAGAATCTAGAGGGTGAGTGTTGATTGAAATGTGTCATTGTTTTCATGCCCTAGTCTGGTATTTGCATGCAGTGGCTGGATTTGCATGTGCTACAGAGGAGGGGGTATATGCACAGGCACCTTCTTAGTAGGCCCACTCATTATTTTTGGAGCGACACCTTGACTATAAGATTCTGCTTTTTAAATCTAATCACACTTGTACTTATAACTTTAGACCAGGTTTAAGTGAAAGACAAGTGTTTAATTAGATTTATTAAACCAAAACATTGAGAAGTCCTATATATATAAATTCTGTGGCTTGGGTGCTAAATAAATTTGGTTGCTGATCAGGGGTGTCAGCCTTCTCATTTCTGGTCAAGTACTCTTCAAGTTTTGATGTAAGGCAGTATGGAATAGAAACAAAACAGGAAATTCTGTCATTTCAGAGGCAATCCTGGACTGCACTGTAGACTTAAATTTGCACTCTTGGTAGTTCATCTGCAGCTCCACTTGGAAGGAGGCCATAGTATCAGAGCCAAGTGTTTGTGAGAGAGGGGTCTAAGCTTCAGGCCTCTGGACTTCAGTAGCTGAGCAGGAGGAACACAGTCTTCCCTTACTGTCAGGTTAGCTCCTTTCTGCAAATCCAGTTATTTCTAGTCACTTACTTTTTTTCCCTTCTAATTGATTTGCTCACTTATTTAAACTTCTTTTAAAAGGAAAGGTTAGTCAGATATTGTGGGATAAGCCTTCATGTTACCTACTCACTCAGGAGGCTGAGGCAGGAAGATCAGAAGTTCAAGGCAAGCCTGGGCTACAAAGCAAGACTCTGTCTCAAAAAAAAAAAAGAGGAAAGTTTATATGATCTGCTTTTCATCTTAACTTAACCATGGTTACTCTGACCTCTTGTGATGCCAAAATAAAAATTTTTTTAAAGGACTGTCGGTCTAGCTCAGTGGTGGAGTGCTTTCCTAGCATTCTCAAGGTTCTGTGTTCAATCCCTTGTACCACATGCACACAAAAAAGTTATGTGATAGAAATTGTAAACCTACAGCTTGCAATTCCTCAAATTCCACTTGAATTTCATTTTAAAGTGAATTTAGATTAGGAAAGGGCCTTAGAAAGCATGTCTAATACCCAAATCTAGAATATTGAAGCCTCCTAATTACCTATCAGACAAGACATCAATTTCTGGCTTTCTCATTTCTCTCAGAAGCTAGGCATATACTGACCTTTTATCATTCTTGTCTAATCATAATAAAAATAAAAGTGATGACAAAATTTCTGCATGAGGGTATATAAATCTCTCAGGAGAATTATAACCAAAAGGATTTAAAAGAATATGTTCATATTATAGGTAAGAAAATCAGTTGCAGAAAGATTAGTAAGTAAATTGCCCTAATCACATCATAGCCAAACCAGGACTAAAGCTTATTTCTTCTAGTGTTTAGCAGAGTATTTCTCTCATGTGTGAAGCAACAGTTGGTCATTAGTAATCTAGGTAAGAAAGAAATGCTTCTGTGTAGTGAATAGGAGGTGAGAACATAGAAAACAGCAGGTAAACAACGCCTTTAGGATTTAAGATAAAGCAATGAGGGCTAGAGGGTGGCTCAAGTGGTAGAGAGCCTGTAAGTGCCTAGCAAGCAAAATGCCCTGAGATCAGATTGCCAAAAAAAGAGATGTTAAAGCTATAAAAGATAGTACAGAGGGAAACGTGGGGACTAGTGTTTTTATTTGTTTGCTTGCTTGTTGTTTTTGGTTTGGTTTGGTTTTTGAGATACGCTTTTCCACATTAAGGACTCATGGGAAGGATCCAGAAGGGAAGATGGATAGATTGAGACTGATTAAAGATAAGGAGAGTGAAGACAATTGATGGAATAGGGTCTTGAAAAGGATCCAGAACGTAGGTGGTGGGATGAGTCATCTGGATTTATGACTCTGGAGCTCAGTTTTGGCCCCTTAGAGATGCTGGATTTGAGCATCATCATTAAATAAGATTATTTAGAGATAAAGGAATTCTGATAATTCCAAAATGCTTCTGAGGGACTAGGGATGTAGTTCAGTGGTAGAGAACTTGTGTACCATGCATGAGACCCGGAGTTCAGTCTCCAGCACATTGTTTGTCTGTGTGTGTCAGGGAGGAAGCTACTGAGTCCCACACCTTAATCCAAATTGAAAAAAAAGTGTTTATTTAGCTGGGTACCGTGGCTCACACCTGTAATCCTAGCTACTTAGGAGGCTGAGATTAGGAGGATCGAGATTGAAGGTCAGCCTGGGCAAATAGTTTGAGAGACCCCATCTCCAAAATAACCAAAGCAAAAATGGACTGGAGGTGTTGTTCAAGTGGTAGAGCATCTATTTTGCAAGCATGCAGCCCTGAGTTAAAACCCTAGTTTCACTCAAAAAAATTTTTTAATTGCACCATTATACATTTTAATTTTTATTTGCAGTTCAGAAGTTACAGATGCTATCATTCTTCACTTAGTGATTTCTGGTAATTATTTTTTGGTGGTATTGGGTTTGAACTCAGGGCTTTGCACTTGCTAGGCAGGCATTTTGCAGCTTGAGCCACACCTCCAACCAAAAAATACCTATTTTTAAAGGATTTTTCACATTTTAGTTTTTGCTGATACTTAAATATTCTCTCAGATCTGTGTGCTGTTTACTCATTTGGAGATTTTATAGAATGTTTCATTAGAAACTTTTTTTTTTTTTTGGCAGCACTGGGGTTTGAACTCAGGTCCTCATGCTTACTGGGCAGGTGCTTTTACCACTTGAGGCACTCTGTCAGCCCTGTTACAGACTTTTTTTAGGAGAAAGATTTGGGGAAAAAAAGGAAGAAAGATTTGTATAGCATGTATCAGAGATTTCTAAAGGAAAAGAGTTTTTTGTTTGTTTGGTTTGAGACAAGGTCTTTATAAAGAACTCACTATGTAACCCAGGCTTTCCTCAAACTCATAGTCCTCCTCCTCTGCCTCCTGAGTTCAAAAAGGGGTCTTAATAACAGTATAATATCCCGCTAATCAGTTGTGAAAAAGAAAGTATAATCCTTTACTAGTATTAGACCTAATCTTAAAAAATGGAGGTTACCTGCAAATCATCATGCATATATTTTTCAGTATATCCTACAATTGGTTTAAAGTTTTCTAGTGTTTAGGGTAAAATTTAAAATACGTTAGTTAGGACTGAAGGTATGGCTAAGGGAGAGGCACCCACTTGGATGTCTAGTTTTAAGAAGAGGTCTCTACTGTGAGAATATAACCAACTGTAGGGTGCTGGGATGTGATTTAGTGGTGGAACATGAAAGTTAAAACCACATGACTGCAGTCCCAGTCAGGAGGATTGCTTGAGCCCAGGAATTCAAAGGTAGCCTAGGCAACATGGCAGGACCATGTCTCAAGATAATAATAATAATAAAAAACCAGTAAAATAAAATAAGTTAATTTAAAACCTAGTATGAGAAAGCCCAAATTAACTATCATGCTTAAAATACATACACATATTTGGAGCTGGGCATGGTGGTACACCACTGTTATCCCCTCATTCAGGAGGTAGAGGCAGGAGAATCCTGAGTTGGAGGCCAGCCTGGGCTAAAGAGTGAGTTCCAGCCTATACAGAGCTACATAGTGCGCCACTGTGCCCAGCTGTTGGTTGAGGTGTGGATGGGGTCTCATGAACTTTTTGTCCAGGTTGGCCTTGGTTCTCTCAGTCTTAGCCTTCCAAGTAACTAGAATTGCAGCACCCAGTTAGTCATATTTTTTGGGTTTTAAGTTTTTGCCCAGGCCAGCCTAGACCACTATCCTATTGTCATCCCAGCTATCTGCTGGGACAGAAATATGCCACCACACAGGCTGTTCATAGAGATGGAGTATCAATAATTTTTTACCTGAACTGGCTTCAAATTATGATCCTCCCAATCTCTGCATCCCTAGTAGCTGTGATTATAAGAGTAAGTCACTGACCTAGAGCATTCAGGATGGCATCTGTGATGTTGGAGCAGCCAGAGGCACAGAGGGACTGTAACTTATGGCACCCTCTGCATATAGTAATGAGACCTTCATCTGTGATTTGCTAAAAAACAAGAGCAAAAAAACCCCACGGATATTAGTAACTCAGAAGAAAAAGGAAAAAAATAATAACTCTGTGAAAATAGTACCAAAGAGAAATCTAGACAGGCTTAATATTAATCAGGTAACAGATCAAAGGGAAAAATGAACAGATTTTGTTTCTTCTTTCCAGTTCCTCGTAATTTAGTTTGTAAGAGAATCTGTGCTTACTTTTAGTAAGGGAAGAAGCTATAATGGGATTCTTTTAACCTAATGAGATAGGGAACAGCATAGGTCGGGTCATGATGTAGGTTCAATTAAATGATTTTAAAATCTAGAAAAAAGATAAGAACAGCAATATTTTAAGAGCAGACATATTTACAAGTTAAAACTGAAACTGTTGTGTGAAAAAAATAAACTGTAGATGACAGTTGTATCTCACCATAGCATCCATGTTTGTTTTTATATTTTTGTAATATAAAGAACATCCTAATTTATGAAAATAAAATGCTGTGTTTAACTCAAAAAAAAAAAAGAATAAGTCACTGTGGCCCCCATGTTTTTTGTTTCTTCAAGTTAAATTCAGAAAATGACTGAACCTATATGTAGCGTTTTTTTGTTTGTTTTTGTTTTTTTACGGCACTGGTGCTTGAACTCGGGACCTTCACCTTGAGCCACTCCACCAGCCCTATATTTATGTGAAGGGTTTTTCGAGATAGGGTCTCACAGAGCTATTTGCACGGGCTGGCTTCAAACCATGATCCTCCTGATCTCGGCCTTCTGAGTACAAGCATGAGCCAGCGGAGCCCAGCTTATAGCCTTCATTTTATTAAAAAAAATCACCATTAAATTGTTGATCCAGAGTATGAATTATATGGTTGTTTTTTTGGTTGGTTGGTTTTGGCAGTATTGGGGCTTGAACTCAGGACCTTTGGCTTGAGCCACTCTACCAGCCCAATTTTTTGTGATAGGGTTTTTCTAGATAGGGTCTCGAGAACTATTTGTCCAGGCTGGCCTCAAACTGCTATCCTCATGATTTCTGCCTCCTTAAGTAGCTAGGATTACAGGCATGAGCCACCAGCGCCCGATTTTTAATTGTACTTTTAATCTTGGGGTTTAGTAAAAGGAAGAAAGGATGAACTTGACCAAATTCTGGTGAATGGTCCTTGTAGAGTCAAGAAAAAATAACATAAATGGAGTCTAGTAGTATCCAAAATTCTTTATAAAGATACTAGGTAAAAAGGCCCTTTTGGGTTCCCAGCAACACACACACACACCCCCCCCACACACACACACTTTGGCTTTTGTGTATGTGGCAGTGTGTCAAGAAGAAGTGCCCTGGGTTGCCCTGCCCCTCTCTGACTAGTTGAGAGATTTCATACTGTACAATGCTTGTCAGCTCTAACTTTGAATCCTTAACCATGGGAAATAGCCCTACATGCATTGTTACTCAAATACTTCATTCTTATGTGTAGAAATAGCATTGCAGTACACTGCTGATTTGAACATTTCTTGGATAAAACAGCTTTTGTTTTGCTTTTGTAACAACAGACACTACTGATGGCTCTCACTCTACGTTTGTTGTGGTAGCACACATAAATCCAGGTGTTGGGGTAATGGGAGTTAAGGATGGTGGCTGCCAAAAGTGGGCCAGATGCTCTGACCTACATAATCTGTGAACACTGGTGTTGAAGGCTGTTTGCTCTTTTTTAGTCTTTATAGTTCACTTTATTCTTTAAAGGGAGGAAAATGATACAATTGTACATTAGTGAAATAAGTAAATTTATGTTTTTATTGGTGGAAAAATGTAAAACCACCTCATACTTAGTAGACTACAGTTTCAATAAACCAATAAACTCATGCATATATATATATATATATATATATATATATATATATATATAATATTCAAAATGGAGTGAAAATGAAATGGTAAGTATTAGTGTTTTTTACAAAATAACTTAGGGGCATGGCTCAAGTGGTAGAGGCTTGCCTAACAGACTAGAGGTCCTGAGTTCAATTCCCAGTAAGAAGAAGAAGAAATAACTCAGATAGTATGTTTATCAAGATTGCTATTGATTTACATATGCAATACATCATAGATTTTCTTCCCATTGCTTTTTGTTGTTATTGTTGTTGTTGTATGAGACAAGTTGTCACTTTGTAG